GAGCCGGTTGCCGAACATTCTTTTTTAAAACCGGGGAAAAGTCTAGTAATTGATTTGCTTTTATGTCATTTGTGCTAATAAAATCTATATGCCGTTCATATCGCCGTTTCCTACACAAGTAGTTACTTATAAAACAAAGATCAAATATCAGAGCAATCAGCCGAAGATTATTTTCCGTCTACCAGAGCGTCGAAAAATCAGTCCAAAGTTGGAGCGCTTCAGTTGAAAATTGGAGACGTACGATAACCGTGTTCTCAGGACAAGGGTTTCAGATTACGTAATATGAATAGAGAAGATGGCAGATTGCACAAATATATCCGTAGACACTCATCGTTTGACTACAACTTGACAATCAACAAAATTACACGAGCCTTTCTCCGCGCTGCCTTTCTCCTGCCACGGTGATTCTATAGCAAGTACTCTTGTAGAGAAGCTATCTGACTTTTAACTTTGTAAGTGAAGTTGGTGTTATCTTCATGAATCTCTCGTTACGAAATTCATCTGTTATGTTACTTCTCATTAAGTTAACTCGAGGGTACCAAGTATACGTCTGCGCGACGGATATAATTGCTAGGTCTTAATTCCGTCTCTCCCTCATATTACCCTCGTAATACAGCGATTCTCTCGTAATGCAAAATTTAGTCCTCTGTAGAGTCATTACCGTGAGAGGCTTTCGACCCTTTAGAACAATAGAAAATAAATGTACGGGGATAATCTTGGATGAAACGAGATAATGGCACACTCTACACCACTAATTTCATGTTATATAATCCAGAGAGAGAGAGAGAGAGAGAGAGAGAAAAGAACGATCAATTTTCTGTCGACTGTCGTGAAAACGCCGGAAATCGTGTTGCAATTCGAGTGAAACCGCGTAGCTACTATGAGCTTCGTAGGATTTGCTGACAGAAATGTAATCTGTAAATTAGTTACCTGATAGACGTACGTGACACGCGAGAAGTGTTTCGTCCAAGTAAATGAATAAGACTAAGCTATTCCAATTAGCTTCGACGATTAATAAATGCCGTTTGTACGGTGACGTATAATAGCCTGAAGCTATATGTTAACCTTGACCATCATTTACAGATTATCTCGCGGCACACTAGATCCGCTCATGACAACCCGTACAATACAAAGTCTAAAACTAATACATCAGTTTTGACTATTTTTCTATTTTTCTTGCCAAAAATTGAAATCTGGCGGAGTATATACTAGTCTGAAGGTAACAACAACGTGTCAGGGCTGGACATATTTCAAATACTTGTATTTGAAAAACAGTATTTGAAATATAATTTATATTTTGTATTTCAAAAAAGTTATTCAATATATTTTGTATTTCAAATACAATTTCAAACTATTTTGTATTTGAAATACTAAAGAAAACATTTATAAAAATCCTTAACAGCAATTAATAATAACTTAAATTTTTCTCATATGACAATTAACTAACTTAATTTTCGTCAAGTTTCAAGCAATGTCAAGTTATCAAAGTCAAATTTCATAATCTCACATAAGTAAATAGATTTCTCGTGCGGTTGATACAGAGTTGTTAAAGAATGTAAGAGAGTAAAACAACTTTTCTTTCTCTCTCTGTAAAAGTGGAGAGAGGACTGTTTTGGGGGAGGGAAGTTTAACATTATATATTATAATAATTAAAAGATTAAATTAAAAAATATTTTGTATTTCAAATAAAAACTTAAAAGTATTTTGTATTTTGTATTTCAAATCGAAAGATTGAAAGTATTTTTATATTTTGTAATTCAAATACATACTAAAATCGCGAGTATTTTGTATTTTAATTGTATTTCAAATACTTTAATGATGTATTTTGCTCAGCCCTGAACGTGCCCTAAGAGTCAAATTGAAAAATTTGTTCTGAAAAAAGTAACTAAAATGTCTTTTAGACACTTCTGCGAAAACTATCTAAAGGATATCTAAAAGACGTCGTGTGCGTTGATTTTGTATATCGTCTGGGAATCTGGCCGACGTCGATTTACTTATAATTTACGTAAGAATATTGATCACATGGTTGCCCCTTCTCTAGTTTTCGGTCGGAAAACCTCCGACTTCGGTTTTTTTCCGATAGACAGAAAAAATATCCGGTCAATCGCTTTAAACCATAGACTTATAAGATAGACTGCGCGGCCCTTTGTTCTCGGTGAAGCAGAAATCGATCGGAAGGGCACACGTCACACTTCTCTTGTCCTTATTCAATTGTTGGTGGGGAGAAGAAAAGAGGGGAGACCCGCGCCGCGCCGGCCGCCGTCAGACGTGCCGGACAAGGACAAGAGAAGTGTGGCGTGTAGCTCTCTCGCTTTCGATTTCTGCTTCACCGAGAACAAAGGGCCGCGCAGTCTATCTTATAAGTCTATGCTTTAAACTTTCATGACTCTCTCTTTTTAAGAAATGGTAAGTGTATAGAAACGGCATGAATTTTATTAGTTGTACATGTAACGCCACACAATCGAGTTTTTTCCTTCGGTTTCAAAAAGAAATCTCCGGCGGGTGGCAGTCAAATCTGATGACCCTTTTTTGATAGTGGTTACTACCAACCTCCGGTAGGAAGGCCCTCGATCTCCGGCGTAACATTAGTTGAAAGGTGATACCGACCAGCGACATAATAATAATAAACGTAACGTCAGAGCTTATGGAAAATAAATTAAGAGGTGTGCATTCACACGGAGACGCGGACGTGATTGACGGGACGAGACCGGCGGCGGTGTGAGAAGCGAATTATACGGTCGCGGATAATTCCGCTGCTCCATTTCTCCCAGACTGCACCGTCATTGCCGATTACCGGGCTATACGATCATCGAGCCGCTCGTATTACCGCGAGTTAGAAAGTAGCGCGATCGGGCGGCCGTATACGTCGCGCAACCCGAGGACACTTAGCGTTTCTTGCTGCGCCCGCTGACGAAATAATGCACCGTCGTCGTTTAATGACGCAGCTGTCGCCGTTAATGACGTCTTCAATTATCGAGCCATCTGCCGCGCGCGGAAAACCCCTCGTCGCCGATTTTTGAGACGAACACCGTACGCCAGATGCGGGTCGCAAATAATCTAACGATCTTAGATGGCGCAGCCATCTCGAGAAGCCGGTTTTTTTCCAATGTACCTTGTGCGTGGTTCTTACGTAGATCTACGTGGCCTCTGTTTTATTGAAAATTGAAAATATATATTTAAATCTGTTTAGTTATTTCATATTTATCACGATCTTACAGCTTCTCTTATTACGAGATATCTTTCTCTCTCTCTCCCTCATCTCTGATCTCTGATCTGACGATGGATTTATAATTATTTGTAAACGTCGCAAACAATGAATAATGATTTGCAAGTAAAATCGTCGTCGCAAAAAAAGAGATGATAACACAGTTGACTATACGCATTTTATTATTACTACAAAAAAAAATTATAATAAAACAGAATATAAGTTCTAAATAAAGCGTGTTACTTGAACTCCTCGAATTTTTTTACAATCAGCTCATTGTTTATTGGCACGATTTCTCGGCCGATACGGAACAAAAGCGATCTTTTTTCGGTTGCGGAATTACCTAATTAAAGTCTTCGTGCGCAGCAACGCGTGGAGTGATTAACAGAGTGACAATGTGATTTAAAATGCGACTCTTTATACAAGCGATACACGGAAAGAACGATTTTGTTGAAAGGTCTAAAAATTTAGCTAAATATATACAGATCTGAAAATAATTTTTTGTTGAATCATCAAAATAATTTGCTGGAATGTTAAAACTGATAAACATTGCTATAAAACATTTTGATATTCCAGCAATCATTTTGACTTTCGTGCAAAATTATTTTGATTATTAAACAAAAATTATTTTCAGATCTTGATTCAGCAAAATTGTTCTTTCCGTGTATATGATACGAGTGATTCGATCCTTTTCTTTTATTAAACAGATGACTGAAAATTGTATTGGAATTTATCAAATCTTACCACAATGAATAAAATTTGCACAGATGAGAAGCTTCAGGGCGATGCCGAAAATTATTGCAATTATATGTCTATATAATATTATAATATATAATATATACAAAATGTGCTAATTATAGCTCCATGTGAAAATATTATCATTTCTGTGAAATCCGATAATCCGAATTGATAGCCACAGTATCTTGCGCTAATTAATTCAGATTACGGAGAGATTGCATTACGTCATAAATTAATATAATCTAATATACATATTATTATTATTATTATATGCACATATGTAAATTGACGAAATCTAATTTACTATCGTACATTTGTATTATGAGCTTAATTACAACGGAGGTTGAATGAAATAAATAATTCCGTATTGTAATCGAATTGCTTACGCCTAATACATATACGTTGCTGTATCTGCGGTATATTACGTAATTACTGCTCGTTTTGCAGGCTGTTGGTCATCTCATTTGTCTTGCAGTGGGTAATTAGTACATAATTATGGAGCGCAGCCTTGATCCGAAAAAAATGGTGCATTTTAAAATATTAATTGCATAATGCAATTTTTTTCATCGATTTTTTGCACCAATTACTTACCTGTATGCCACGTGACTCCGCTAATCATACAGGTTAGCAATCTTGCAAGTCGATAGTCGGGTTTGATTGCAAAAAAAGAAATAAAATTAAAGTAAATACGGCCATTCAAACGGTCACTCGGTCAATCTCGTCCGGCAATATTGCGTAAAGCGGTGCGACGCGACGCGATGCGACGACGGCGGAGCCTGCAGAGGCACGACGTGTCGTCGCCGCGGCCGCGCCGCGCCGCAGCGCATCGCGCCGGTGTCGAGTAACGGTTAATTCCCGCGAAATTCCTGCGAGCCCTCCACGGAAGCCACGGATCGGCACGGAGTTCACGAGCGGTTAGACGATGGCCCTTCCATCGGACTCGCGGTGCATGGAAAGGCGATTGTATCAAGGCGGTCGTGCAACTTTCTCGCTGCCGGAATCGCAAATGCGGAAGAGGTCGGAGAGTACATGAGAGCTTATGGTACGATTCATCGGTCAGTACCCACAGGATTGTTGCCCCGTAAAGATCGTACCTCGGTTTTCCCTCGGTTTTACCTCGGCGGTGAGTTGCCCGGAATTCAATCGAATCCCGATTGCGGAATTCGGGAGAAGAGAGAACGCGAAGTATAACGTGCCTATCGTCTCGAGCATCGGCGTGAATCGCAATTGCTAATTTCGCCGGATCAATCCGAAACTTTCGTATTTGAATCCGTTTGAATACGGAGCTATTGAAGAGTGGTTTTTTTTCCTATTTCGAAACGTTGGAAATTCTATCTCTCCCAAAGAGGCAAGTTTTTCGCTATGTTTTATTTAAATGGTTACATCTGCCAATTAGAAAGAGAGAGAGAGAGAAAGAGAAATTTAATTAATTTTAATATCCGATGTTGTAATGTCGATGCTTCGCGATTATGCAAGTTATGCAACATTCCGCCAATTTTAGACAAACAATGACTCACGGCAATGTGTTTAAATACGAGTATTTACGGAAGTTACAATATTTATGAGTCTCGATGTGTTTTACATATATATTTTTATGCATTATTAGCATTAATCTCACGTCTAATCCTACAAAACATTTCCAATGCGGAATATGATGCTATGATTGCTATATTCGACGATGTTTTCCTCTTGTACACTTTGACTTTAATCATCATGAGAAATGATTAAAAATACATGTGAGAAAAAATCAGATTAATCTTTTCAGAAATTTATGTAAGAATTGACAAGCACATTATCAAGATAATTTATCAAATTTATATAACTTATCTATCACTTATTCATTATTAGTTACCATTAATAAATAAAATATATAAAGTACAATTATTATAATTTTAATAAATAATAGAATAATTATAATTATTAGAATAGTAAAATTAATTAATTAATGATTCTGCTTGCTTTCATCTTATAAATATCGAGTTGATAAAAGAAAACGTAATAATATTTATATAGTACGAATCAGTGCCGTTATAAATTATTTTAATAATAATCTAATAAAAATATACGTTACAGAAATAATAGGAGTATATAATTATAAATACCTGTTTGTAAATATAGAATTGGTTATGCGTGTTTCTTTAATTATAAACATTTAATCCGAATTATATTCAAAATTTTTCTAAAAAAGAGTGAACAAGTGTAAAAGAGGTAACAATTCGTGAACAATATCAATCATCGCGTCGATTACAAGGAATGATATTTGCTATCTACATTTCGTGAGAAAGATGCTGCATACGATAAAAACATAGTCTCTACAGCGGAACGACAAAGTTTATCACGGCATTTCCGAATGAAAACAGAATGAGATAATGCCACTTTCGATCTCGCAGAAGTAAAAGCGTGCAATTGTCAGCAAAGGGAAGTGATTTTAAATTGCATTGAATGTACATAGATAACGCAACGATATTTTCATGGGCTCTCATAAATCAACTTTCTAATAATGATTTTCGTCGAGATTAATAGGTACATAATTTTATGCATGATAGAGAAATGTAAATCAACGGCTTTATTATTATATTTGAATACCACGTAAAATTATCGTTACGTAAACGGCAGTTTGAGACACGACTATAGAAAGTTTCGATACGATATTAATGATAAGAAGAAGAATAGCAAGAATCGAAAATTTTCGCGCTCTCGGTAATCTGACCTCGGTAGAAAACGCCGACACAAGGCTGATATGCAATCTACGTTACACGCAACTGCATGCGGCTGCATATCGACAGGCGCGCAGCCTTGAGTCTCGACGCCGCCCGATCGAGGATTCTCCGTAGAGTAAGTTTTCCCCAAGAAAGTTTTCAAGATCCGAAGGCGAACGAAGAATTTCGGTTATTACGTTTGCCGAAAGATGAAGATTGATGTAAAAGTACGCGAGTTATGTCACGGGCGAGTTAACGCGATCCGCAAAGAAAAGGGAACTCGTTCGCGGAACGATTTATCATGCTTTCATGCAGATCGACCTTGGGGGATTTCGCAGCCTTTGCCAGACAAGTAGAATTCAATTTCAGAACAGTCTATGCAAGGTACTCTTAAGCTTTTCTTGGAAAATTATTGCGGTACCCTAGTATTGCGGGGATACCCTACAGTAACGCAATTCATTGGCGACACACATTAACATACATTATATTCGACCAACATTGCATCGATGAAATGTGCTGTTAGGGTAGCAACCAAATTATTTTTTTAGCATTTTAAGATTTGTCGGAATTTTTCACAGAGAATATACAGTATACAAAACAGAATAAATAAAATATTTTTATCGAAATCTTCAAGGGAATTGATTTGCATTTGAGTTTCCTCGAAGTAAAGTTCTAAGACGAATATATACACAATTGGAAAAATTTGTATTAAATTGAAAACATTTTACGTGTCCCACCCAAATTTTTGTATTAATTTAATCCAAGATGAATATATTAAAAAGTAACACAAATATTATTGAATTCTAACTGTAAATATAATAGCTTGGCATAAATTTATTTTTGTTTTTATTTTTTGATTACGAGTTACAATTAATACCCTTATATTATTTTTGACTATGTTTATCATGCGGAATTTCGTCTATTCTAATTAATATGACTGTTAATGAGTTTATTTCATTTTTTAATTTCTTAAGTTTATTCACTATTTCTTTTAGTTCATACATCATTTATTAGGTTCATAATACTTAAGATCCACCCAGTTATGCAACGGTGTTTCGACAATATTTATGAACTGCGTGCCACAGCGTTATTCACCTTTATTAATTTTAATTAACTGAAATTCTCTGGTAATGGCTATAAAGTTAGCCATCGAAACGTTCGAAAGTTTCAAATTATGTACTTTACTTTATTAAATTATTTTATCGAGTGATATGATACGATATGATTAATTTGCGCACATTTACCGCGCCAACTCCCATAGCTTTTTCTTTGATAATCAAACAAATATTACGTAAAAAAACTAACAAAAAATGTAATACTGACACGATTTGAGCAAATTGGAAACATATATTTCTTCAGTAAAATTAACACATATGTTTTATTTTAGAATTTATATTTTAAAATATATTATTGTAATGGCATTTGTTTACTTATTCATAAATGTTATTTTAATAAATAATCAATTCAACAAAATATTCAAATAACAACTGCCACATTATGTTAGCTATTTATACTAAATTAACTATTTACACTTGGATATGTAAATTCAACGTAAGAACTTGAAACCGGTTTTAGCATAAATAAAAATGTTTTCATTGTTAATACAATTAACGTTACAGCTAGTGTGTCCGATAATCAATATTCGAAAAAATGAATGATTAATGGATATGAATATAAGTATGAATACGAGTATGAATACAATTTTCTTTCTATTCACCGGAAAATGAATAAATACTTTTTATTAATTTCATAATGAATATATTTGTGAACACGATTACGAATATTTTCGATTTCGCATTCACTTCTATTTTTATTACACTTCACTGTACTGTTTGCACACAGTTATTTTAAGCATAGAATAAACAGAAATCTGTAAAGATAAAACCGAACAGAGAATCATGTGTGATATTCAATTCATCAATTAACATTATGTTGTACGAGAAAACCACATTCCAGAAGGAATATATAAAAAGAATAATATACATGTGACAGATCAAATCATTATCATAATTGTGTTTTTCTTTTTAATTAATTACAGGTTTTAAAGACAAAATTATCTAATAATATATTATCTAATGAATCATGCTAATTGTGATTATAAGCACGTTAAGGAGCAACGGTTGCTTATTGGAGCAACCATTTTTTCTTTTTTAATTTACATTTGTTTTTATCTAAATATGAATACTTGTAAAATACTTAATCGTAAAATATTCATAAATAAATATTTTTGAAAATTCAAAATTTTGAATGAATATATATAAATAAATGTTTTTTTTATCGTAAAAATTTTGAATAAATACTTGTAGCTCAATTAGCTCAAGTTTTGTGTATTTATCGAACATACTAGTTATATAGCATATTACGCTAACTTATCTTTATTCATTGTGACTCCCAATAAAACAGGAAACGTACAGATATTTCGATAAAAAGAATAAAACTGTCTAAAACAAAAGCATGCTCACTAGCGCAATATCTTTCAGATGTTGCAACGTCGTTACGGCGCCAGTTTACTTTCAGTTCACTACAATGTGGCACAATTTTTCGATATTTTGTGGACAAGACTACCGGCGGTGATTAACATAAATAAACGCAATAATGACGCAAGACGAGAGTATAATTTCATAGAATTCTATGGGTCCGACGATAAATGTATAACGCAGTGTAGTGCAGCTAGACGTGGAAAATATGTTATTACTGCTGGCACATATGTACGTATGATGAAATACCGTCGAAATCAACAGACAGAAAAAGCACTAATAACATGTACTTAGATTACGTCAACGGAACGTCGTTATGTCGACTGGTTAGACATGAACTTTCATGCTCGATCACGTGTTCAACGCGATGATGCACACTCGCGAGGAGATCTAATATAAGCGTATACGTACGCGTAAATACATTCGCGCGCGTGCATTCTTCCCAGCTGGGATCACAGCTCATAGATTCTCTCGCCGAGGCTCTCCTCCCGGAGTGGCGGCGATCCGCGCACGCAGCGCACGATCTTTCACCGATCCTTTCGGATTGTAAAATCAAATCCGCGCTCTCTCCAATTCCCTTTTATTCGCTCATCATCTCCCGCGGAATTCGCCGATAATCACGCGACAATTGGCCCCGTTGATCCCCCCGGCGGAGAATAGGTCTTTGTCCGAACGCGACGTGCACGCGATACGTAACCGTCGTGACGCCGCCGGTCGTCAGTGAAAGTGCCGGACTGTCGATGCAATAGGGTGACCCTGACATATTTCGCAACGCGCGCGCCTTCGTTACAGTCATTTCCCAGGTACAATCGGTGCAGAGATGTTGCGACGTCTTCCAAAAAACGCTCCCCTATATAGACTTCGCTCCCTCGTTAAATATCGTTTCTCATCGCGCGTTTCCCTCGCGAGTCGAGTCCGCGCGATTTCCACGTATGTATACGCGGTTTCCTATACGCGCGACCGCATATATACCCATGCAGTCGTTTTCTTCTCTCACGCCCGCGGCCCGCGGCCGCTTTGTGACGATTTCCGCGCGCGAGAAGCCTTTCTCTCACCGCGTTGCGTTGCGGCACAATGAGGCGGCTACTCGGACATTTCTGCCGCGTTCGCATGCATACGCCATTGCGCCGTGACGACGCGCGTGACAACGCGGACGATAGCGTTATGTCACCGCAGAGATAACGAGCACGAACAGAGTTGACTTCGCGAAGTAACGTTGGAAATTCGCACGACCGGGTGATTTACGCGAGCGCGGCTCGCGAAATACACGCGCCTCCGCGCCGCGCTGCTAATGATCTCGCCCGGTACGTCGAGAAGATGCTAGATTCCAGCGGAATGACTGGAATTTACAATGCAGCCGCTCGGAGGGGTATGTATCGCGTGAGCAAGTCGCGCCGCTGATGGACCTTGAGAATTCACGCCACAGATCGCAGATAATTTATTTTATGTGTTGCGAATGCAACACGCGAATGTACCGGCCGATAAAACTTCATCTGCTTGAAGATGATTTATGTATTTTTATATGTCGATGTGTAATTGTACACGCGCGATTCAAATCACGTTTTTTTAATATAAAAAAACTTGATTAACGTCGTTATTAATGCCTGCATCTCAATATTTCCTCAACATAATTTATAATTTAATCATTGATAAAAACACTTTGCATTGAATATCGAAGAATTTATAACGCGCCTTCTTTTTTTAGATCTCTTGAGAAAATTGACATTCATAAAATGATCTATTAAACAAAGTAAAATATGAAAAGATCTGTTAGATAATTCAATGAATATTTACGTACGAATTAAAATTTTTTTTAAAAGAGAGGCTTTTAAATAAAGGCGCTACGTGTAATCGCTGCTCGAAAAATTACTATTGTACAAATTATAATTCATACATTTTTTTCATTTAATTTCTTAACTCATTTCATAACTCAAAAGTTATGATGTCAAAAAGTTACGGTTATTAATAAAAGTTTGTACACGCCATAATTATTATACTTATAATATGTGTTGTTAAAGCAAAACAAGTATTAGATCATTACGATTATATTAAGTAAAAGTATATTAGTTAATCTAATACTTGTTTATATTATGTATATATATATATATATAGACATAGTCGTGACTATATATTATTATACATTTATAAATGCAAGAAATACAAGAATAAAAATACTCAGAAACATCCAAGTTAAACATTAAAATTTGAAGCCAGCAAAGGAATTTGAAACCATATATGAAATTAATATAACCAGCCAAGTGATTATTTGTGCGCTATCAATATCGTTAGACAATGCACGATGAATATTCATGTAGAATTGAAATAAAAGATATTACACGGTGCACGGAAAAATGATGATTGCGAGAAATGTTAATTAAATAAGAATTGTGCGCAAGGAAGTCGAAAGCGGAAAGCTAGCTTAACAAAATATATTTTCTAATTAAAAAAAAAGAGCCCTCTCCACTAATTACTCGGAATTGCTCGGAATAGCGATAATCTCGTATTCTCGACCGTAACTATTTGTAAGACGACCTCGCATCGCGGGTAGACCCGCTCGCGGCCTCGGACACGCGAAGATGTTACTAATAGTCATTCAACATTGCAGCAGCGGTGATGGTTTTTCGTTATACGTCGGCCGGGACGCGCGCGCGGGCGAAATGCGAACCGCAGCCGGCCGAGGCCGCGTGCTCGGTACAAAGAAATGCGCGCCACGGTTACACCATCGCGTTCACCGCGAATCGGCGAACCGCCGTGTAACGTGCGAAACAGTATCGCGCCGCGCTCGCGGGAAACTGCGAGTTGCATCTTTCGCCGAGGCAGTGCCGCGTTTTAGCTCCGCGCGCGAGGCCGGGAGTCACATCTCGATCCGCGAGCGTGAAATGTGCGCCGGAACGCCGACGAACCCGTCCGCTTTTCTTCATTGACGTTCATCGCGTCTATATCGGATCCTTCGTCTCCTCCTCCTCCGCGCGTTTCGTTTACAGACGCAACCGGCGCGGCGTCCGCTCGTCCCACCGCCGCGTCCGTGATGCGTTCAATTATATTTTATACGCGTGCTATATTTCTCTGATTATATGTGCGCGCGATATCGCCCACCTCCGATCGTAGAGAGAGGGAGAGAGAGAAAAAAAGAGAATCACCTTCGGAGCGAGTGCAAGAAGATAATAAGTGTTGTCTTAGAAAACAGAAATAGCCGTCTACCGAGGAAAAGGAACAATACCGTGACGCTGATGTAACCGTCTGTCAGGCCCGTCTTAGACAAGCAGACAGCAGATCAGACTCGTTGCATAATTCGCGCTTGGTTTTTATTGAAAAAAAGAAAAGAAAGAAAGACAGAAAAAGAAAGGATGTAAATCGCGTCGCTCCTATATATAGGCACACACGGAGCAACGGTGGATATCCTGACTGCGCGAGAGGCAGTTCGCTGCAGCGGAATTAACGCGCGGATAGATTTTAATTATACGCGCGTTCTCTCTCTCTCTCTTTTTCTCTCTCTCTTTCGCGCGATTCCGAGAAAATGACCAGCATTAAAAACGGCGGCAAGTGGACATTGCTGCAAGAGTAGAATACCGCCGTATACACACCGGATATTGGCTTCGTAGAGGCTTGAAGGAGGCGTAGCTCTCTGCGGTGTGTCACGCCGCGCACACAGCGACAACGAAACGCGCGCTCTCGCGAAAAGTACACATAGCTATCGTGTTCGACAACGGCGTGTTATTGCGACACGGGAAAGAGAGGCAAAGCTTTTATGATACACTCCGAAACACTCACGGAGACTGCGGGACGGGTGTAGGTATATTAGTTCCAAGTGGCGCGCGCGCCACTTGATCGATTTGTAGTCAAGAGTCGTGATAAAATACAATTATTAATGAAAAGCAACACGTCGCGGACGTTTGAGAGATGCTTATATAATTCACTATTTTACGATGTTGTTGTCGGTCGTAATGCATCAACGATAAGATATTCTTTTTAAACTGTGTAGCTTCCGATATCTATTTGCGGCATCGATTGATTCGAACTTGATCACTTCCATATGTCTCATTCTGTAATAAAAGACTCATTACATGAAATACGAGGCGCATAAAGTGTTGTTGGCACAGAAAAAAGGACAATTATTTTCTTTCGCGTCGCCATGGATGATCGAATAAGAATGAATCACGCCGTGCTTTGAACTTCGTACTGTTGATGTGCGAACTAGACCTAGTCGGGTCTGGTCGGCCCGAGAGTTGAGTTTGACAGACTCAAGGCTCGCGCTACCGTAACTGCGCGGCATTTAAATAATCTTTATTCAAGGACAAGTCGTCCCGCATGGTCAATATTGGCCACAGGAATAAAAGTTTGAATCAGCGTCGAGAGAGAGGGAGAGAGAGAGGGGGAGAGAGAGAGAGAGAGATCCGCGAGAGATCATTGTTTGCCTCGTGCACATGCACTGGTCACTCGCAACATGCAGGCACGCGCAACGACACGCGCGCACGTAAACGCGGTGTCACGGTGTGTATACGTTTATCAATCTATCCGCGTGTAGATGTGTGTATACGGCTATCGGTAGAAGGAGGTTATCTGGTAAAGCCGGAGAGACAGGCAGCCGTATAGTTGCGCGAGCGCGATCCGCGACTGAATAGCCGCGCGCGATTTCGCTTTTTCGCGCGAGCGAGCGAGGCTACACGAATCGAGGAGGATCACGCCGGGGGATTCCCGTAGACGTTAAATGAAATAGAAATCGGGTCTCTATCTGCCGTGTTGCTATCATGCCGCAGGGAAGCGAGAAGAGCGGCAACGGCGTCGAGTCGAGGACCCCGGTGGACCACGGTCTCCCAACCGGAAGTGGCTCGACGGATCAGAGGACCGACTGCAAGCTGACGTCCGATGTCAAGGGACGGAAGGATCTAGAGCCTGCCAAGAGTGCCGACGATATGCCGGAGCTTCAGAACAGTCACGAGTTGGAGGATGACGATGAGAAGATCTTCCTGGATCTGTGCGAGCCACCGCCGGAAGTCATGGAGTACGCCAGAAGGGAGTTAGGCGAGACCGACGAGATCAAGTGTCAGACGCTGCAGGAGTTTCGTGACATGATCTACGGTAATTTGAAATAATGGAACGTTAGTCTCCCTTCGGAGAAATATAATCGTTAACGGGGAAGAGTGTTGATGCTGTAAAATCGGCAGTGCGATGCGATTTATTCTATTGCGAGACAAGTATAATCGCAAATTAATTATACAATAAATAAAAAGGCCTATGATCCGCCGGCTCTGTGTTGATTTTCAATCTATTGAGCCTAAAAATGTGTAGTATTTAATTTGTTATAATCGTAAAGTTTTGATTGTTGCAAAGTTTTAAATTTGATTGTCGTTGGAATATTGATGTCGCAATGACGTTGAAATATTTCCATAAACAGACGTAGATATTTCTATTGTTTGTAAATGCGATCGAGATATTTCCTTCTCTTAGGATAGAGATTTGCAGAAAGAATTGAAAGAAAATCTCTTGAATTAAATATATTTTGAAAAGTGACCAAAATATTTGTAGAATTTATAACATTTCGCGATCAAATAAAAACGTTATTGTTTCGTTAATGAGTTTGTGGTTGCGTTCTTTCGCAGAGAAAGGCGAGTGTTTGCCGCACAGGATGGACGACGATTTTCTCATCAGATTTCTTCGCGCGAGGAACTTTAATATAAAGAGCGCGCATAAGCTGGTGAGTTATAGATGTATAGGCATTGACAATGACATTTGCGATGAGGCGGACAGTTTAAATCGATGAAAGAGACGTATGCTTTTATTATTAAAAGTATGCTCGCGTCAATGTGCTTTTTGTCACGTAAAGTAGACGATAAGTATTTTTCGCGCACAGAAATAGAACGTCAGCCACGAGAAAAAGAAAGACGACGTGTACACAATTTTTATGACATTTACACATTTTGCTTGGTATATACGCCATTAATGGAAAATTTATATGAATCAGCACTTATTAGCATTTGTTAACGATAGCGTTATGTTGAGAGATTTTGTGATTTAGCAAAGAGTTAAAATAACTGCGACGTAAAATCAATTAATTTATAATTTTATGAAAAAATAAAACATTAATTCTGGATGTATTTATTTAATCTGATTCAATCTGATTTTATCTGACGTAGCACTACTGATTATTTCATGTTGGATATAAAAAAATATTTATTGCTTCACGTTGAAGGATCTTGGTGAATAAACAAATTAACTTAAAGTAAAAAAGACTCCTTGGGGAATTAAATTATGTGATAATTATATAAGATTATATGCATATAGATAAAAAATTAGTTACGTAATCAAATTTTTGAAAAAGACACCTCTATGCGATACTTTATTATCATATACACGTTTTCAAATATTCTTGTTAAATTAAAATTGTTTACAAAGCAATTAAATACATGTTTTCTGTCGCCAAATTAATATCAGATCTCTAAATAAAAGAAATTACTGTCACAGTTAAATCGTTAAGATATTTGCAATTGCTAAAATCGGCATTGCAAAAAAAAAAACAACACTCATAAAGTGTCTAAATTTAAAGAGTGAATTAATTAACGTAAAATATGTGCGTATAATTTATTTAGAGATAAAAAACCTTTTTTTAAAATTGTTCACAGTTATTTAAAATTCTTTTCTTCTGCCCTAAAATTTTTCGATACAACGATATGTACGTAATTGGTTCTCCCTACAGAATTAGAGAAACCGCTTGAGAAATATAAAATGATGAATTAACAAACAACGCTTAATAATGCGTGTCGCGTCGAGTCGTGCATTTATTTCGTAATTAACGTAATTAGAAATTCATAACGCTATTTTTTATAATAAACTTCGCTTGCTTTGCAATTAAATATGTATATCTAATTTATATATTTAGTAGAGGCATAAATTAGTTGAATATAAAATTTGTTGTTTGTAGATACATAGTTACTTATCTTTTTTTGAATGCCATTAGAAACTCAATCATGCATAGTCAGGAATTTTTAAAGAGAGTTGCGTCATTTGCGAATTAGGAATTATTAGCGGAATTGAATATTCAGAAAAATAAGAAAATTTTATTATGCCCAATTATGTCCAAGTGCCAAGCCAATCAATCCAGTGTAATCGCAATGACAATTTGAATTTACATATTTATTTTCTTTTATTTGTAATCTTATCAAGAGAATAGGTAATCTAAATTGATTTAATCGCAACATAAACTTATCTGTCTTCTTCTGTCTTTTTAATACGTTTATTATCTTTCATTATCTTATATTATCCTAGATTGCTCTGTGTAATTTAGCCTGAAATCGCTTTCAGCAAAATTGCGAATTCCTTTTCAGGTATGATTAGATAATTCAATGATTGCCGACTGTCGTTTAAACATACTTTTGTTTATAGATAAAAATATTTTATTTTAGATAAAGATGTCATTCTCAATTACTTAATTTGAATATTAATCGCTACTGAAATGTTAAGGAATGTTCAAAAAATAGCGAGTGCTTATGATTATGACCTTTGTCGGGAATTAATAGTGAACATACATCGATGAATACGAGTATAAAGCGCGGACACCAAGTGAACCTTCTAGTTGCACAATTATGTCAAGGTGAACTGATCTACCTTTCAAGATCTGAAATACGCGGCGCGGTAGTATTCTACGAAAATTAGAATTAGTGAAAGCACGTTGAAAGGATCTAGCCTTTTAGTGCAGTGCGCTTATTAATCCGCTTTTAGCATAATTGGCCGAACGAATCGCCGGTATAATTGCGACATTTTAATGAAAAAGTGAAACGAAAATTGATATAGGTTTAAAACAATTTCGCCGTTCGATATCAGCAAGACGAACTCGATCGCTTCCCCCTTATCTCCATATGCATAAGAAAACAAACGGGCTATTCATAAATGCAATTGCCGGGAGAAGCCGATGAATAATCGATTAAACGATATAACCCTCACGATCACAAGAATCCGTAATGTACTTATACCGGGCTGCAATAATGAACTAGCATGGAATGCTTAACGGCCGTTATAATACGCCCGTTCCCGATTTTTTAACGCAAATTTCACGGAATATTTTCCTTGACATTTGCACGTACGAGCGACAGAGCGCGAGCTGCGCGCGAGGCCGATTTTTTTTTTCAAGGAATCTTTCGATAGATAGTGAATTACTACAACTTCAAAGAGGAACATCCGAAGATCCATCAGCAGATGAACTCGACTGAGATGAGGTACATAGGTGACGACGACGTGATCACGGTGCCGCCGTACAGGACCCCATGCGGCAGGCGCTTGATGATCTACCGTATCGGCAATTGGGATCCGCGTAAATACTCTGCCGATGAGCTCTTCAAAGCTACAGTCGGAATCCTCGAGCTCGGCATCCTCGAGCCGCGGCAGCAGATCTTGGGCGGTATCGCCATTTTTGACTTGAAGGACATCTCGATGACACACGCGTGGTCCATTACGCCTCAGGTACACCGTGATGCCTTGTTATTTTCTCTTTCTCTTTTTTTCTCCGATGAAAATATTTTTTAAGAATTTGTTAATCTTAAATTTGTGAAGATATCTGAAAAAATCTAAATTTCTTCAGATTTCTTAGAGAGTTATAAAATAAGAAATCTTAGAAATCTTGAAATATTTCAGAATTTAGGTATATAAAAGATTATAGAAAGAATGTAGATATTCTCAACAGTTCTAAAAAGGGTTTTAATTCGTATTCAAAAATCTGAAAAATCTGTACAAAATCTGTAATTTTCTACAATTTAAAGAAATTTAAAAAATCTTGAAATTTATACAAAAATTTTAAAAGCTTGAGAAAGTTTAAGAAAAATTTTTATCAGAGTTTTGATATACTTCATATCCATGGAATCTTTATTGTTTGCGACAAATGTACTCGGAAAGAACAATTTTGCTGAATCCAAATCTGAAAATAATTTTTGTTTAATGATCAAAATAATTTTGTGCGAAAGTCAAAATGATTGCTAGAATATCAAAATATTTTATAGCAATGCCTTCCAATTTTAACATTCCAACAAATTTTGATGATTTAAGAAAAAATTATTTTCAGATCTGGTTTTAGCAAAATTTTTAGACCTTTCAACAAAATCGTTCTTTCCGTGTAATGTATGAAATTAAAAGGCGGGACGTTAAAATATATGTAATAATACATGTCAGTGAGACATGAAAGATGAATCCTTCTTTTAGGTGGCAAGCATGATGCTGTCCCTGATGGTGACTGCGTTCCCCATCAGGATACACGCGCTACACATCCTCAATCAGTCGTGGGTCTTCGACGCGATCTTCGCGGTCTTCAAACCGCTGCTCGACGCCAACATGCGAAACAAGCTGTTCTTCCACGGTAGCAACTACGAGAGTTTGCACAAACACATCTCGCCCGAGTGCCTGCCGAAGATGTACGGGGGCGTGAGGAACGAGCTGCCCTACTACAAGTGGATCGAATCCATAATCAAAGATCCGAAGATCGTCGAGCAGATGAGTAAAATGGGCTACTATGTCACGGACGAGATACGCGACTCCTTCTCTGCACAAAAATAAAGTTCGCCCGTGTTCCTGAGCGGAAGGAGGCTTCAGGGAAATTTTTTAAAACTTGCATGATATTTTTGTATACACGATTCACCAATTCAGCAATTAAATCGCACGCCTTTTATTATTAACCATTTAGTTTTTTTTTTGTATCTTTTGTCTTTCAGATTAGATTTATAGCACGTCTTGAATATGTTTTACATAGTTTATTTTGTATTGACTTTAGATCATCGTAAAACGTGTTGAAAAACGTTTTTGCATTATTTATATATCTAAGATTTATTGTACTCGCGATTGTGCGACTGTGTATTATTCAACGTTGGTAACTGAGGTCTTTGAATAAAAGTTTTTTGCTACGATCAAATGGACGAGTATAATCGCCTGTATCAAGCTATACGTTACTCCAGCTACTCCGGACATTTCGCATACACGATACGTTGCGATTGCAGTTATCATGCCTTACCGCGCCTAACAGCGTAATATACCCCCGCGATAAGGATCGCGTTGTGTTTCTCAGCACGCTTCCACCTGATGAACCTAATGCTATTTTGGCCCATCGCCCAGAGAGTCCCATTCCCACTCGACTCGAGTGAGTCGATTTCCCTTTCCCGCGATTTATCAACGCGAATCGATTCACTATCGAGAGAACGATATGCATCCCCTATTTGTGACTCTTCCGCTGCACGTTTCGTGATGTATGCTCCATCCGGTTAATTGAGACTCGGACGCGCGTCGGATTTCTTTACCCCTTCGTAGCGGGATCGCGCGACGAGAACGCGAAGAGAACGTCTACGAACCGTGACTCGAGAGCCAGTCGGATTATTGGCGTTTTTAGTGGAAATCGACAAAAATGATTCCCGCGGCGGAATACGTGATCCGAGAAATAGTAGCCAACGCAATCCGTTCCATTGATAAACGAATTGTCATTAAATGAAGACGTTAAAAGAACGACGACCGCAAGCGAAAAAAAATCCTGTTAACTTTTTATTAAGAGTGAATCATTTAGTGCGATTCGTTGAATGTCGCGAGAGTTAATCGGATGACGCTTCATTCAGGGAGATCTTTCGCTGTTCCAGTTAGAATTCTAAATATTACACTTAAATTATATCGCTGTTTTTTGTATCTGCTAAAAAATTGTCTGTCATACGTAGAATTTATAGCAACAATATTCTAAGAATATATGCAAGAAAATATAGGTCTCATAACCAAATATATGATTAGAATCTGGATTGGAGTCTGGACTGATTAAAGAAGAACTTTCGTGCTAAATTTGACAAATAGTTCAGATATAATTTCTGTTTCTATTATCTGTATTGATCAAATACAAAACATATGTGGTATCGCAGTGCCTACTAATCACTTATCCGTTTTAGCTAATTTTTCGTACCTAAATAATTCTGGCTATAATTGCAAGATTACTTTTTTTAGTGTTCAATTAATGAATTATTACCTGCACTCGCTCGACCTCAAACAGCTGAACAGGATGCAATAATATTTGCGGTTGAAGATCATTAATCGATAAAGATAGAAAATGATTAGAGACTTTTTCGCGCAACGATCGGTTGGCAAGATTTCTAGGATTAGTTTTTGCACTATGTAAAGTGATGTAACGTCTTTAATCGCAATAAAAAGGAAGGCGGTAATAGAAAGCCAAACAAGATGTTCCACGATTACTGAGAACTGCAACGTAATTGGACTAATGAAGACTAGGCTGCGTCGTGTAAAAGTAACGGTTAATAAACAGATTATTTTGATCTAATTTTTTTTATATTTCTAACAGATCATTGACCAAGATTTAACAGCATACGTCAACGCAAAGCAAAGCGCAAATATCTTTCATTGTAATTTCTTTCTTAATAATTCATCGAAAGAATAAGAATTACATAACCAAAACGGTTTTGTTAAAATATATGAAAATTAGGGCAGATTTGAAATTAATTGTCGGACTATCAAAATAATTGTATATAACGCTCAAGCTGGTTGCTAGAATGTCAAAACTTTTGCAGCATTATCACCATGCTTGAGCATTTTATATGTATAATTACTTTAATGGTCTATATTCCTAGATCTGTATCTGGCACAATTTTTATATTTTTTTATATGCTTTGGAAAACCATTCTTTTTGTTCAGATATTTGTAACAATTTGTAATAATTAATTTTTTATAAACTAACGGCACTTATACATGATTTTGTTTCAAATTTATTCCTTCGGTCGAAAGAAAATGCATTTAATTTCTGTTACAGTTTGCATAATTAAAATCAGCCTGTAAACATTTCTAGTTTATAATTTTTACTCATTTTGGTACCGATTATTTTATCGCTCTTCTTTTGCTTTCCGATGTAAAATCGTTATAATACCCGCCGAACATCGTGGTCTCAATTATCCACGACTTGATTAGCCGAGAATCTCTGGATTAAGAAAGAAGCTATATATCTCATGATGCCCAAAGGATTTACGTGAGCCAATTGTTTGCTCGTCCTATCCTAAAATAAGAACTCGGCCGCTCCTGGGATGAACTCGAGATGAAATCAGGAAGATGAGACCGCGCGTGCGGAGGTGCAGTTAGGTCAGCGGGTACATAGGTAGGACTGTAAAGGAGGCGCAGGTAGGGCCTGGCGTCAACTGCTGGGGTTTGTGGTGGTTGATATCGACCCGGGTCGGAGGGTCGGGTAGCAGTCAGGATCGCAAGGCGCACGCCTGGACGTGGACGGGAGCGAGGGCGCGAGAAGGAAAACGGCGCGGGGCGGCGAGGCAGACGGAGACAAATGGACGGGGTGACGCGGAGGGTGGCGAGGCGAGGGTGGTGAATATCGATGTATATACGCGCACGCAATCGTGGAGGTAGGTCGTGCAGAAGAGGTAGTAGGAACCCGCGCCGGTAGTAGCAACCCGGCTGGCTAGCGCGCACCCCACACACGCGGGTGCCAGGCGCCGCATCCCCCGAGAGAGAGAGGAAGCTCAAGTCCGGCTCTCGTCGTCTTGGCGCGCATGTGTGCGTGTACGGTGTGTGCGTGAGCGGTGCGAGAGCGGTGCTCGGTCCGCCGAGTGTACATACGTGTGCCACGTTAACCTCCGGGTAACAGCTGCGTCAGCGAAGGCTCGTGGGAAATCGTGGAAACGCTGCCGCGATCGCGCACCGCTCGCGCGTTCCGGTGAGCTCCGCTGCAGGCCACGGCCAGAACTTGGAGTCGGCGGGCAAGGCGAGACTACGTGTACTCACACCTCTCTCTCCCCGTCCGCCCTCGCCTCATCGCGGCGAGGCGGTGGAACGTGCGGCGAGGGGGATACATCATCCGGGATTTCACTCGGGGGAGTGCAAGTGTTTACGGGGGTGCGTTATCCCGGAAACCACGGGGGCTCCATGTGCATTCTGCACGAGGAGGAGGAGGAGAAGGTAGCCGTGATCGGTCGATCGTCCCCATAGAGGTGGACGCGCGGCGGACGCGGTGATGCGGTTAGAGTGCGGACGAGAGGAGTAATGTGACGGTGCGTGGTGCGCGCTCAGCGGAAGACGACGACGACGACGACGACGACGACCGTTAAGCCGGCGCCATGTCGCAGCAGACCTCGAACGAGGAATCCTACCTGAGCTGTGGCAGGCCGTCGAATCTGCTGAAGACAAACTTCAGCAGCGCCCGTCTCGAGAAGCTCTATCGCGCCTCGTCGCTGCAGCAGCGTCGCGGCGGCCTCACGTGCTTCCTGATGTCGGCGATCCTGTACGGCCTCTACACGGTGTCGACGCCGTGGATGGAGCTGCCGGCACGTTGCGTCAGCGCCGTGTTCCTCAGCCTCAACTTCGGCCTGCTGGTCTGGGTCGAGAGCGGCACGAAGACGTGCAACTCGCTCTGGTCGGTGGTGCCGTGCATCGTCGGGCAGCTGTGGATCGTGCACCTGCCCGCACAGCTGTTCCTCAAGTCCGCCAAGGTCACGCCGAGGGACAGCCTGGGTTGGATGCTGCTGCTGCTCTACCTGCTGTTCGCCACCCTGCCGCTCAAGCTATGCCGCTGCACGTCCCTCGCGCTCGGCAGCGTGCTCGTCTACTTCATCGCCGTGATCGGTCTCTCCAGCACTACGCTGGAGGACCTTAAAATGCAGCCGGTCGACATTCTGGTAGGTATAACGAAAGCGACGCGCGATCTCGTCGAGGAACAATCGCGGATTCAAATCGGCGGCGGCGGGTCCTCGAGAGAGAGGATTGGAATTCCCGCGCCCGCCCACTCGCGAGACGGTACTCCGAAGAGAGAGAATCGGACGACGAGGGCAATATTAGGGTCTCGCGCGCAGCGCGTCCGACGGATTTCCTTAACTCGCGGACGCGTGAAAAACACTTGTCTCGTTTAATCCATGCGAAAGCTAGCCCTGCGAAAGCTCGCGTAATCCACCACGTGACCTCTTTCCATTTATAGCGCCCCTCTATAAAGTTATTAAAAATAACTTGAATACTCATATACACCGCGTTCTATATTTAATGAGTCAGTCCCTTCGATCGTGCCTAAAAACGGCGATAACGGCGATCACGAGCTTAGAACGCGAATACCGCTCCTTCTCCGTTAATATCCCCGGAGAAGGAAATCCGATAGACAAGAGGAGGGAATAAAGTGTGCCTGTCTTGTTTCGAGATCGTTTCACGTCGAACGTGACGCGGGCACAATTGCATGCGCGCGACCTAAACGAAAAAAAAAAATGAATAAATAAACGAGTAAAAATTACGTGCGCGCGCGCGCGCGTGTCAATTGCGAACGAAGGGGGTGAAACGCTTTTTCCGCGCTTTCCGATCCACGACGCGGTGAATGGGAAACAACGGTGTGTCGCCGACGCCGACTTCGACAAACTAATTCACTGTCAACCGTAGACCGGCGGTGTGTGCACCAACAATCGATCCAAGTTCAACGAGGCGTATCTCCGCCGTTTTTATGAATACGCGCCGTACGCGGTTGCGAGTGAAAAGAAAAAAAAATTAAATTAGAAATTTCGTATTACAACCTGCAAGAATCGGTTTTACGCGAAAGATTTTGGATCGGTGAAAAGTCAGCTTTGAACAGTTCGATTGTACACTGAGAGAAAAATTTTTGGTGTTTGTAACTATAATTACAAAGCATAATTATGTGACTATTGTATTGTTACTATTATACTGTTGGCAATAATAATAATTATATATATAATTTTATTAACAAATATTTATAGTTGATATCAAAACTTACTATACATTATTACTATAAAAATTATTGCAATTATCATTATTTAACTATAATTTATAGTCATTTTTGAAGCCCAATTATATTTTATATAATTACCCTGAAAATGACTATAAATTATAGTTAAATACTGATAATTGCAATCATTTTTATAGTAATAATAACTATAACGTATAGTAAGTTTTGATATATAAACTACATATAGTTGTTAATAAAACTACACATATAATTATTATTACTAACGTTATAGTAGTAATAATTATAATTATAGTTACAAATACAAAAAAAATTTTCTCTCGTTATAGTGGATCCTCTGTCTCGGATTGAGAATTATGCTGTTAAATGACTCGAACGCGCGTTAAAATCACGATAAAACGTCGTTCTGTTAAAACATATGGTTAAAAACATATATCTGTGAAACGTGTGTGGGCTACGCCGATGACGTATTTAGCAGCACTATAAATTGCTGCAAATTATACTATTTTTGATGGTAACTCTTGACCTTAGGCACCAAGCATCATTGTTAACGCTCACCGCGATCGACATCGGGTTACGCTACGTTTATCGATACGTCGTCGCACCGGAGATCAAGGGTACTACAATTGACTTCTCCTCCATTAAGGTTTTTGTAGGTGTCCGATAATTCGCGGTAATTTAATCCGTTGCGTTTAGTTTTCTTATTATACTGCATCATATATAGTTATACTTATTATAAAGAAAAGCTGTGTTGCAAGTTTTTCTTTATGATAATTATTTTACATGTAATTATTATTACAACAAAGGTATCTCAAGCAATTAAGTTAAATCCTTTGCGAGTTATAAAAACTTATAAAAACCGTGATTAATGGAAAAAAAAGTTGGCTGTCGAGTTGAAAACCGTTGGCCTGTGTTCGCTCATCGAGAATATTATACCTATTGAAGCTCTCTGTGCCATTGTTAAAGAATTTTCCAACAATTATCGCTGTTAATTCGCTGGATAAAGTTAATCTACGGATAATACGCGTTTTATACGCGTTGCAAACTTAATTACTGGCTCCATCGCTGATGAAAATTGATACGTACGACTTTTGCTATACTCGTCGCACACGGGCTTGTCTTATCGATCTCCCGGTGTACACGATGTAATATCATTGTTAAAGCGATAATAGTACTCGCGCCACCGTGTATCGCCCATGTAAAGTTGGACTTGTACGTACCTTTGTTTTGAAAGCGTGGCATTGAACGCACCGATAAGCGTGGTGGTTTGTCGCTCCCGCGTGTGTTGCGTATATCTCGCGGTTACGCGTAGTTTCAAGTGCACGTGATGACGCGTCCACTGAAGAAGGTATTTCAGAAGACCGGGAACCTAATGAAGCGATTGCATCATTATATTTTCTCTCTCGCACTCTCTCAATATTTTCTCTGCAATCTATTTCATCGCGAGAAAATAACACAATTATTGAATTAAATGAAGCGACCACGTTGGAGTTTCTCGGAAAACCTGTCATTCTGTCTAAATTGCCAAGTATGACACAAGATATCGTAATTTTTTTTTTCACCTTTAATTCACTCATAATGAAAAAAAAAAGTAAAAACAAAAAGAAAGAGCTAATATTCGAAGCATGAGAGCATACTGAATACGACTTATGCGGCAGTCTACAATAAGACTTAAGAAAGAAAATTGATCATAGTCGACTATTCATATCACACGGAAAGAACGATTTTGTTGAAAGGTCTAAAAATTTTGCTAAAAACAGATCTGAAAATAATTTTTTGTTGAATCATCAAAATAATTTGTTGGAATGTTAAAACTGATAAGTATTGCTTATAAAACGTTTTGAAGCCTATTTTGATATTCTAGCAATTATTTTGACTTTCGCACAAAATTAATTTGATCATTAAACAAAAATTATTTTCAGATCTGGATTCAGCAAAATTGTTCTTTCCGTGCAAGTAAGAAGAATAATCGATTGTGATTGGTCAACTTTCTTAAATCTTAAGTCTTAAGTCTCATTAATTGTATAGACGCTGTTTTACGCACGTATCAACCGTTACGGCAAATTGCGTTACGGCGGAGAATTTTAACGGATAATTGGCCTGATCGATCTACAATAGCACAGCGCGGCTGTTATAGAATATAAACAGTACAGGTGCATCGGCCGAAGAGGCGTGCCGAACTTTCGGCGGCAAATATCGTGTGAAAGCGAAAGCTGGAAGTAGACGCGCGGCACGTGGCGCTCGCCGTTAGTAACACTCGAGTAGAGTTTGGTCAATGGTAGGTCAAAATAGAGAGCGACGAAGATAGAGGCACAGATAATGAGAGCGAAATAGAGTGTGAGATAGAGAGAGAAAGAGAGAGTGAGAGAGAGGGAGGGAGGGAGGGAGGGAGAGAGAGGTACAAAGAGAACGAGAGAACGGCGCTGCGCAACGATGCGAGAGGTTGCCTTTCGATACGCGACGCGCTCGATGCTTTTTCACTGGGAATGAACTGACTACCGTTCACCAATATGGTAGAGTATCACCCGGAAAAGTGACCTCGCGATCGAGATATCGGCTGCGCGTCGGTCGCCGACGGGAAAAAAATGCCGTGCAAATATATTGGGTGTTACAAAGCTTTCCTATTCGATTCTGAAGATAAATGTAATTGTCTATTTTGTTTATTTTTTTTAAATTAAATATTGTATTAGAGAGGCAGTGCTAACTCTCCAAAATTTTGAATGCTATATTGCATGCTAAATCCAAAAGCCTTGTAACTCCGTTGCTGCTAATAACTGCTTAACAATCTCTCGTTTAGATTCAGGCATTTCCATGGAAACAAATCCTTTACCTTTCAACCCTGAGGATTAATATAGTGGCTTATTTTGTTTAGTTTTTTTTAAATATTAAATATTATAATCAAAAAAGTGCTAACACTCTAAAAATATTGCTAAATTCCGAAGTCTTGACTCCAATTATTGCTTCACAATCTGTCGTTTAGATTCAGGCATTTCCATGGAATCCTTTCGCTTTCAATCCTAAAAGTATGTAAATGTAGTTGCTCATTTTGTTTAATTTTTTTTTATATTAATATTATACTAAAGTACTAAAATACTGCATGCCAAATTCCAAAGATTAATAATTCCATTGTCAATTACCGCCTCACAATCAGTCCTTTAGATATTTTAGATTTAGGCGTTTCCATGGAAACAAATTCTTTGCCTTTCAATCCTGAAAATAAATGTAATTGCCCATTTTGTTAGATTATTTTTTATATTATAAATATTATTTTAAATATTATTTTTATATTAAATATTATACTAGAGACAGCACTACATGCCGTATTCCAAAGACTAATAATTCCACTGCCTGCAATTAACGCCTCACAATCTGTCGTTCAGATTTAGGCGTTTCCATGGAAACAAATTCTTTGCCTTTCAATCCTGAAAATAAATGTAATTGCCCATTTTGTTAGATTATTTTTTATATTATAAATATTATTTTAAATATTATTTTTATATTAAATATTATACTAGAGACAGCACTACATGCCGTATTCCAAAGACTAATAATTCCACTGCCTGCAATTAACGCCTCACAATCTGTTCAGATTTAGGCGTTTCCATGGAAACAAATCCTTTGCCTTTCAATCCGCCGGCGCAGGCACCCGACGCGCAATTTGTAATTAAGTCTTAACGGAGGATCCGTAATAAATTCTGCGCCAAGTGACGCGACTAGATTGCTCCCGTGGCGCGCTAGATGCTCGTAGTCAGCTTCGTAACACACACACACACACACATACAAAAAAACATGTCCTGTAGATCCTGACGCTGACGCTCTTCGCCGGCGCCTCTATCATGGGTGCCTGCGGCTACTGCCTGGCGGAGTTCCAGCAGCGACGCGCGTTTCTCGAGACCAGACAGAGCCTGGAGGTCCAGCTGATGATCGAGGAGCAGAGCGCGGAGCAGGAGCGGCTGTTGCTCAGCGTCCTGCCGGAGCACGTCGCGGTCAAGATGCGGCAGGACCTCGGCGCGTCACTCGACACCCAGTTCAAGAAGATCTACATGTCCAGGCACGAGAACGTGTCGATACTTTACGCCGACATAGTCGGCTTCACCGCGATCTCGTCGACCTACAGCGCCGGCGAGCTGGTCAAGATACTCAACGAGCTCTTCGCGCGATTTGACCAGCTCAGCGAACGGTATATATATATATATATATATACATCTTTGAAGTTTTTTCTCTTTAATGGATACATTGACGTTGCCATTAATGCGTTAATTCTATGCCAGGCCAGGGGAGAATTGTTCAACGCTAGTAAATTTAACAGCTACACTTTTACTCATTACATTTGCACGTTTTTTTTTTCTTTTACGTTCGCTCTATCGATCTCGCGAGCGAAGTACAACACGCACAAGGTGAGAAACGCCGCGGTTCGGGCGCAGATCGATATCGTAAATAATCCGAACGTCTCCGAGTCGGCTGATAATTAAAACTTCAATTAAATAAAATTAAATTCAGTTAGTCGTTCGGTGAGCTAAGTGAGTTTATCATTTAACGAGTTTGCCGAATATTTCGAGGAAAATTAAATATTTGTCATCCGCGGTAGCGAGTTATTTTTGTCTCTCTCCCCGATGTGTACTTATGCATGTTAAGTGGGACCTCGCGTGTTATCGAATGCTAAATCGTAAAACGGTACGGCAAAGTGGTGGAATTCCGTAAGCTCGGCGCGTTCCATTTCCGCCGCCGAGGGGGATAATGAAAATTGTATGATCGGTTTCGACGACGGAATTGATTCCATCAGTGAATTCCCGTGTCGATTTTGTCTTCGGCCACTCCGACTCCGGGGTAAATCCTGCCGCAGGGGGAGGTCCTTGGAGGACACCGGCAATCGATATCCCCGGGGACCGGGGTTTTCCATCGCCGCCAAATGCACTTTGCGGCTTACGTGATCATCATCCGTCGTCGCGTTATATTTTATTTATAGTTAGAATATCTCTTTCTTCTTCACACACACACACACACACACACACACACACACACACACACACACACACACACACACACACACTACACA